GTGATGGGGCATTGCCTTCCCCTGATTACTGGGTTGCCTCCTGACTCTGAGGGCTCCTGGACTGTGGGAGGTGGCAGGCCGGGCTGAGGGACCTCCGCCCCCTGTCCAGTGCATGAATTTTCATGCACCAGGCCTCTAGTATCAGAATAATGGGAAAAAGAGGTTGGATATTTATGTTGGTCTGGTTTTGGAAAGTATTAAACATCAGGTTAGGTTGTCTTTAGTCTGGTGGTAAGCCAGCTTTAAATAATGGACATCTATTAAGAAGAGAAAAATGGTCTATTGGGAGTTATACTAAAAGCCTAACTGGGAATAAAATTTCACAATCTGTGGCAATATTCCTTTTAATCAAATATTACATAATTTAAAATTCTAAAATAATATGTTATATGAATTTTAAATCAAGAAATTCACCCTAGACGCTAGGGTGGCCCCAATACTCACACCCTCCCATTCTTTGTGACTTGACTTCAGGACTATGACTTGCTTCCAACCAATAGAATATGAAAAATGTTATGAGATGTCACTTCAATGATTATGTTAATACCTATATCCACATTCTATATGCATATACATATATACCTACATACCTACATGCATTACATACATACATGGCTCTACCTTGTTAGCATAACAAGCATAACATAGAGACTCTTCGGTTGGCAGTAAAGAAGCAAGTTGCTATATGAACCGCATATGAAGAGAGCCACGTGGACGGAAAACATGGGGCCTCTAGGAACTGAGGTTTGCAATCCTACAATTACAGTGAACTAAATTCTGCCCAAGCCCAGTGAATTTGGAGGAGGACCCTGCTCTCCGAACAAAAATGCAGTTTAGTCCAGTGATGGCAAACCTTTTGAGCTCGGCGTGTCAGCATTTGAAAAACCCTAACTTAACTCTGGTGCCGTGTCACATATAGAAATTTTTTATCTTTGCAACCATAGTAAAAGAAAGACTTATATTTTTGATATTTATTTTATATATTTAAATGCCATTTAACAAAGAAAAATCAATCAAAAAAATGAGTTCGCGTGTCACCTCTGACACGCGTATCATAGGTTCGCCATCACTGGTCTAGTCCGTATTTTGATTGCAGTCTTGTGAGACCCTGAGCTAAGCCCTGCCTTTTCCCCTGACCTGTGGAAACTGTGAGATAATAGCGTATTTTATTTTAAGCTTTTAAAGATGTTTCATAGAAGTAGAAAACTAATACATTTCCTAACCAAAACACAGAGAACAAGCACATTTACAGAATTAACTCATTTTTCCATTTATTGGACCAAAGTAGAATGTTATAGAGGATATTTGCCTGGTGGCCTGTATAATACAGTCAACCTTTGAAACTAATATAATAGGGAATGAAACAACAAACTTTTAAAAAATGCTTACTATGCTCTGTATGTGTATTCACACATGTAGTTCTCAGATCAGCTCTGTATAGTGGATACTATCAGATCTATTTTTTAGATTCAGAAATTAAGGGTTAGAGAGCGGAAATTATTTGTGCAAAGTTTCACATATGGTAGTTTTGTTTTGCAGCCGTAACTCAATCCGAGGCAAGCTGATTTTCAAGATGGCATTCTCAACAGCTACACATCAGAACCTCTCTCTTCGCAGTCTTGCTTACTCTGCTTTGCCCAAGAATGTCAGCACACCATGTGTTTGAATCGCTGACCCAGCCCCCCTCAGCCAAACAGCTTTCTATATAGTTCCTTTACTTTACAGAAACTTAAGAATTAGAGCTAATGTTTTATCATGTATGATGCCTACTTTTTAATAAATTAGTTATGAAAAATAACATTTTTGTAAGTATGTGAATAAAGCTTTTCCTATTCCATTGACATAACTAAAATGAATATTTTATTTGATTTAATACTCTTACAATGGAAACAAAAATTGCAAATATTATGAAGTAGAACACACACACACACTCACCCAACTACTTGTTTACCCATATACACATTCTCAGTAGTGTTTTATGAAACATTTTAGCTCACATTTTAGAAGTATAACCTAGGGCAGGTTATGTACCTGCTCTGAGAGATAGAATGAGGATAATACAAAACAAACTGTGGGAAAATAGGAAGATCCCACCTAATACTCCCTTTAGGGATTTGGGGGGTAAGAAAATAGAGGAATAGACAGGGAAGAAGAAAACTAATATTCATTGAAAATAGCTATGTATCAAGTGCTAACTTCTTACAATAATCCAAACAGTTACATCTGTCCCTCATTCTACTGTTTGAAAACTGAGGTACATATTTTTGAAATTAACCGAAGTTTATTAAATAAAAACTAACAACTGACTGCAGGAAGGCAAACTCTTGTCACCTGACTCCCAAATCTTTCTTCTAAGCATAATTTTATTCTTTTCTTATCATAATACCTCCAGCTCTAGGGTTCATAATTCTATATAAATCCAAGAAAAAAGCACTTTTTAGAATGCACTTTTCTATTAAGATGAACCATTGGCATTATGCATATACATTATTTACACCTATATGTGGTTGGTCTTCATTAAAAAATATTTTAAAACTGCTATTATAAGCATCTGACTAGAAAAAGTCTAATTAGCACTTTCTAGAAGCAGTTTTGAGGACTAACTTCCAACATAATTATGTTCCCTTTTGGGAAGAAGTGTCTTTATTTTATAAAAAGCATTTATTTTCTTAAATTTTTCTTTCAAAGTTCCATAATGTTTATTGTCAGGTAACTCCAGCTAATAAATCTAACCCCCACCTCCTCGCCCCCCGCCCCCCCTCTATATTATTAAAGCAAATGTCCTATTACTCCAAAAATGAAAATTTAAATATTAAAAGGCCTCACAAAGATAGATTATATCACTTAACCATTGTCTATAGTAAACATAAATTATGTACATAACCTAGAAGAAAAAGATTAAGCATCAGCATACATGGGTTCTATTAATACATAATTGTTTAGTATTAATTGTAAAATCATAACAAGTTATACTTTTCCAAAGTCATTTAAATTTCCTGTCTTTTAGTCTCTCCACATACTAAACAAAAGATAATAAAGTCAGCCTTACTTACACCATAAGCTATGCAAGAACAAAATTGAGTTTAAATAAAAGAATAAAATGAAGTAAAAAGATGCCAACATGCTCTAAAAACTTAAATAAATATGGAATCAATTTGTTTGCATATTTGGCAAAATAATAAAGTTGGTACAAAACAGGAAAAAGTACACAGGCAAATTAGTAGGTAAACTACTTGAGAAATATTTGATTGTATAATTCAAGCTTATTGATAAAAATCTTTCAGGGAAGATACGGAAATTTTAGAAAAGGGCGGAACAATGTAGGCAGAACAGTGACAATCATGAGGACTTTCTTACACTCCTTGATAATGAACCTGAGGTGGAGTGGAGTGGGAGGGACAAGAAAAAATATTCTGAAGAAGCCAGGGCGGCATGGTTTCCTTCTTTTGAGAAGTAAAATCTGTGAAGACAAGTGATATAAACTTCTCACCCAAAATTATTTTTGTTTTCTTTTTATAATTATATCCTATATAATGAAAGCCCCGCGACCAAACGGTGGAAGAACCAGAACTTCCAGTTGACCCTTGCTATGATGTGCACTGACCACCATGGGGAAGACGCTCAATGCAGGAGCTGCCCCATGGTGGTCAGTGCGCTCCCACAGTGGGAGCACCACTCCCACAGCCGACGATCCCCACAGGCCACAACCCCACCAGTGCACAAATACTGTGCACCGGGCCTCTAGTTATTACATATTTGGCCTCCTATAACATATTGCTTGATTGATACCATAGTTCAATGATGACACTAAAAAACTAATATTATAGAAACATTATATATTAAGCAATAATGGGAAATAAAATCTGCATCTCTTGGAAATGCATCACACATTTCTTTGTGGTCCTTGCTTTGGACCAAACAATGGATTTAAAGTTCTCTGACTTGACATAGATACCAAGGAAAACTGCCATTAGATTTAAAGAAGTGCAACATTAAAAAGAAAACAACAAATAAACAAATAAGAACTCATAGACACAGACAACATGTTGGTTACCAGAGGGATGGGGGTGGGAGGAGTAGTAAAAGATAAAGGGGGTCAAATATATATATATGGTGACAGAAAAATATTTGACTTTGGGTAGTGGACACACAATGAAATATACAGATCATGTATCATAGAATTGTACACTTTAGACCTATATAATCTTAACCATTTTCACTCAATAAATTTAATTTAAAAAAAATACTTTTTTATAAAAAATACGTTTTTATTAATTTTTTTGAGAGAGAGAGAAAGAAAGAGAGAAAAAGAGAGAGGGAGAGAGAAACATCAATGAGAAAGAACCATCCATCAGTCGCCTCCTGCACACCCCCTACAGGGGATCAAGCCCACAACTGGGAATCAAACCAGGGACCTCTAGGTGCATGGGACAATGCTCAATCAACTGAGCCACACCTGACAGGGCAACAAATTCTTTTTAAAGAGTGACTTGCTGGGTCTCAAAAAGTTCACAAAAAAAATAAAAACTCCCCCCAAAAAATATTTCAAGTTTTCTAATCATTTTTTTTTTTGGACATTTCCAGATGCCCTCAAAGCCTCAATATCAAACAAATCTTAATAAAATAACACTAAAAGCATCTGAATAAAAGGCCAGCATAATGGTGACAGAAAATACTCCAAGTGCTTTTCTTGCCTAATAATTTCAATATTTCAAAACCAAATGCACATTCTACATCCATTTATGTTGATTTTTAAAAACAGTGAGACTAAGTTTAATAGTAAGAGAGAGCACGCTGAGGAATGAAATGGGAAGCCCAAGAAAAGACACAGCAGTAAATATTCCTATTGCCGTACTTGACATCATTCGCTGATAACTTTTTTAAACCTTTGGGTAAAGATACTTAAACAAAAAAATTAAAGAATAAAACAAATTAGAAAAACACACACCCAGAATTCAACACAATGAACGAAAGAGAATTATTACCAAAAAATCACTTACCTATTTTGTCAAGATCTTCTACAAGACTTCTAGGTCAACCTTGATAGCAATCCTAGGTAAATCCAATCCCAGCATCACATTAGAGTAGCCCTGTTAATAGAGACAAATAATTGTTACTGCTTTGAAAATTAAATTAAATTTATGTCATAATTAGTTCAATGACTTCATAGAACATAAAACATAGTCAACCTCAAATAAAGATAATTGTTAATGCATTCATTACCTTCTGAATCTTCAAGCATGTATGAAATGCTTTTGTACATTTTAATTTGGAGAACTTTAAATCCATTGTTTGGTACAAACTAAGGACCATGGAGACAACATCAGATGCATTTCCAAGAGATGCAGATTTTATTTCCTACTTTTACATTGATTTGGAAAGTTTGAATTTTTGGTGATAAAATTTTAAATGTATGGTGACAGAAGATGATTTGACTTTGGGTAAAGGGCAACATACAGATCATGTATCACAGAAATGTACACATGAAAGTGTATGATCTTATTAACCAATGTCATCTCAATAAATTTAATTTAAAATTATTAAATGCATATAATGAAATTATTTATGTCTCAAGGTTATCAACTAAAACATGATTGATTTCAATTGCCTTTTAAATCCATACTTAATGAGCATTGTAAGCCTTTACACAATTAACAAATTAGTAGTGAGCATTTTCTCCTTATAATCAAAATGTAAGAATTATCACCTTAATACATATTTGAATTTATATTTTCCAGAT